TGTGTGTGTGTGTGTGTGTGTGTGTGTGTACGCGTGTGTTTATTGCTCTAAATCGTCTTATCGTGTCGTACTCGGAGCACGTGATGGCGTTCGAGAGTACGGCAGAACGTTTATAACGGCATAAAATATTATATTCATGCGGACGGCGCCGTGTGGACGACCGCCGGCACGTATACAGCATGACACGAGTCGTCAACTAAACGGCCGGTTCGGCCGATGACCGTTCGGCCGCCGCGGCGTTTGGCTGCTGTTTGGCGGTGAACTCCGGTTCGGTGAACGTGAGCACGCCGTAAACGATGTTCAGCGCGGCCGCGACCGCAAAAACGGCGAACACCCACCAGCCGACGGCGGCGTACACGTACGGATAGCACTTGACGGCGGCGAAGGCGACGGCGTAGCCGAACGCCAGGGCCACGTGCTCGCCGGGCGCGTACCGCGGGACGGGCGAGTGGGGCACCAGACCGACGCTGCTGGACGTGGAGAACACGATCAGGCCAAACAGCGGGATGAAGCTCAGCAGCTGCGAGCCGAGCCGGTTGAGGAACAGCCGGCGGGCGAGGTTGTAGACGGCGATGACGACGCCGGCCGTCAGCGTGCCGGCCGCCGCGAGCGTGGCCGACGATTCCCGGTGGTTCATGGCGGTGGACACGAACGCGCCGGCCACCAGGAACGCGGCCAGCACCGCGGCCACGAAGTGGTTGTTGAGCACGCGCACGCCCGCGTCGTCCACCACGTGCGTGGCGTACGACACCAACACCAGCGGGCCGGACATTTGCTGGAGGGCCAGGTGCAGGCTGAGCGCCAGCAGCGGCCGGTAGACATCCGGTTGGTGGAGGCGGCGGTAGATGGCCTCGGCCACTCGGTCTCCGGGGGCACAGTGCGGCGCGCACGGTTCCACGTCCGCCAACCGCTGGACCCTCAACTTGAGCCTGGAGTATTCGGCGTCGCCGGTGCGGCCGCGGCTATCCAGCCAATCCGGGCTCTCGGGCACAAACGTCCGGACCAGCACGAACGAGACTACTGTGGTCACCATGGCCACGGCGGCCGTCTGCGCGTAGCTGAGCAGCGACCCGGCCAGGTACACGCACAGCACGCCGACGGCGGTGTAGACGACCGGCCGGGCGGACGGCCGGGACGGGAAACATTCGGAACTGTGCGCGGTGGCGGCCACGGACACGACGCCCACGAACACGCCGGTGAGCGCGCGGCCCACCAGCAGGTTGGTGGTGCTCCAACTGCTGAACGTCATCAACCAGCCGATGGCGCAGACCACGTGGCTCAGCAGCACAGATCCTCGGGGCCCGAACGAGTCCATCAGGCTGTGCGAGATCAGGCATCCGACAGCCGCGCCCAGGGGGGCCATGCTAACTGCGAACACACACACGATCGATGAAAATCGTTTGTTAGTAAAAATAAAGTACAAAAAATATGATATAATAAACGGCCACGGTGCATAATAATAATATATCGTAAACGTAAAGGCTTAACGCTAAGACTCGCAGATATCGGTTTGTTATTTTCTATACGGTTGTACAGAACCGAAAACAACGAAATTTTCTCGTCACTATTCTATTCCCAAAACAGCCGATTGGGTATACAATAATATAATATAGCAGGGACGTACACAGGAGAGTGTTTTGGGTGTGCGAACACCCCTCTCCCCCGAAATATTTGGTTATTTGTATATGATTATTTACTTATTCAATTTTAATATAAGTCGTCATATTATATACTTTTAGACAGATATAATATATTACATTGTGTTTGTGAAAAATCGGCTAAAGCAAAATAAAAATTTAATACTAACAAATTAAAACTTTAATAAATAATTTGATAAAAAATAAAAATACTTAAACAGGATTGAGAAATAAAATAAAATTATACCTATTGTATATTGGCATATTTTCCATTAGATATACCTATTATTGTGTATTTCTTATATTTATTAAAAAAAGTTCTATTTTTAAATAACTGATTATCAAAAACACCCTCCAAAACTTTTTTATATGTACCTACGTTTCTAATGTATAATATCTTTTATGGTCAAAAATGCATTGCGCTTATCAATCGTACACTTTTGCTATTCGAATAAATAGAGTACAAGCAAAACTATAATTTGAAAAATGTATTTGATTTAACTTCCCGACATTTAGTTTAAGACTGGTAGATACACGACTTACGAGTTAGTAAGTTACAACTTATACCATTATCAAGTTGTATTTAGAATAAATTAACTGTGTGCCGATTTCAAGTTTTAAATAATGCGCAATAGGTATACAGAGTTATAAATAGATTATGTATACGAAATGAATGCAGTTGATTCTCGATTTTAGAAGACAAACTAATAATTAAAAATGTTTCGTTGCGGTGAATGGGCTGATAAGTACTTACGTTACTAAATTCATTAATTTTCGTGATTCGTGAAGTAATGAATAACGACAAATTTTCAACAACGTTTTGTTGTTGAAGCAAACGATATGAGATTTTGTTAAAAAAAAAATTAAAATTTGTCAAAGACATATGATAATCTGTAATAAAGGTAATAAATTATTAATAACTAATTACTAAGAAATAATGACGATAAATCATTAATTAATTATTAATAAATAATAACGGTAATAATTTATTAAGTAATCATTGATAAATAATAATGATTGACACAGCGACACAAACATACAGTTTATTTCAGATATTTTTTTTAAGATGATAATATCGAAAACAAAATGAATAAATTTTAAATAATCACATTACAAAGTGGCTTATTCGTAGAATAAAAAACATTTTTATACATTTTTTCTCAGTAATATTTCTTAGATGGTTGACGGTTGACTATAATATATTTATAATTTATAATATGTTATATAATTTTATTTATATTCCTATTATTTTTATAATTATACTAGTTTGTACTTAATTTACTCTCTACACAGTCAACGTTAAATATTTGTAAATGTTAGGTGTTTTTTATACTATATTGAAATTTTAAATTGTAGACGTATGATACATTTATATTTTAATTAAAATTTAAAAGTGTAACAAATAACAATTGTTTAATACTTATTAATAATATTGTAAAACGACTAGCGATCAATAAAATACGTAAACAATATTATTGTTGTGATGTAACATTGTAACATATTACGCAATAATCAGATGAAAGAGTGGGGGATACTAATGTCTCAAACGCAGAAGATATACCAATAGTGTTTCACTTATTTTGTTAATAATTTTTATATGTAAACTTGGGTTATATTTTTTATGTCTTGAAAAACGATTAAAAGATATTATTTTGAGAATCATCTATAATTACGCTGCGCTGCCTGTACTACTATACTAATATCTATAATCTAGTCCTAAATAACCTAAATCGGCCAATTATTAGTCTAATTTAATACTTTTGAATTATTTACACTTTAGAGGTACAAAGGTTTTAGCGTTTTCGATAACATTAATTATTTGAAAAATATTTTCTACGATATTGTACGTAATAATTCGACGCTATATTTTACTATACCTAATACCTTTAATTAAATTACAACAGAATATCACAAAATGACAACCCAGTACCCACGCGTTACGTAACACATAGATGTATTTCATTATGTATACCTAAGAAACTAAGTTTGAATTCGTAAACCTGATGCAAATGCAATAATACAATATTGAATAAGCTCATGTGTAATGTGTATACTATTTGAGTGTTTTTATATATCCACGAAGGATAACTAGTACGAGTTTATAAAAAAATAAAAAAAAATAAAGGCGTGGGAAAAACAACTATATAAAGTAATGATGTATATTATCATTTATCATAATGAATTTACCTATCAATAGGCTTTTTTAAATTAAAACCACTATTGCTCACACAAAAATAAACAATAATTCCGATAGAGTCTGAGCATTCCATTAATTTTATTATTATACCCGCAATCTATTACTTAATATATTTTAATTTGTAATAATAAACTATCATAAATTACGATTTAGTAAAACTCACCAAACCAAGTCGAATTTCGATACGATAGAGGCAAATTCCACATCGACACACCAGTAAATCCCAAAATGACCCCCGAAATCACACACGGTAACAACGATATCACGGCTAAAAATCCCTGTAAATAAAAAAACGAAATCACCGTACGTTCGTCATAAGTTCACAATATATAGTCTAAAGAGTCTCAATACATAAGTACAGATACCCAGTGGCGTATTTTCATTTTTTTTTTGGAGGGGGTGGAATGTCTAAAAATGAAGTTAGTCAACAATATTATAAAAAATATAACTCACGCGAGTTGTATGAAGTAATAATTATACTATAACTTTCGAACCTTCTTTTTTCTTCTGGGGAGGGGGGGTCGAAACCCAGGAACCCTTCTCGAAAATGTAGCCACTGTAAATAGGTACTTTTCCTATGCATGATAATATAAAGTAAGCACGTCTGCACATTACCTGGGTCGCTGAAGAATTATTCAATGGTTTTTGGACGTATACGTTTACCACAACCGGCGGTTCGACCGGTGTACTGGGGCCCGGCGCGTTTTCTTCCATCGCAAAAAGTAAAATAAGCGGCGGGTAGTATTAGTGTAGAGTTAAATTTAGTTTAGGGTTCTATACTCATACGTAATATTATACAGCACGAAAAGTCGCCGGCATCACTATACGGTACTCGTTTAACACGCGTAAATTACACACTCATATATTATTAAAAGCGTCAGTGTTATTATTCTTGTACGATGATAATTATTACTTATTGATAGTTTAATGGTGGACGACGGCGCACTGAAGACTGAACTCTGAAGTTCGAGCACTATACTATAATGCAGTTGTTCACACTACTACGATCCTCTCTAGAAATCCATCCGTCATTTGGACGGCTTCAAACCGGTGTCGGATAACTGTACACATTGTTTTTATCATCATATTATATCATAATATTATACCTATTTTATGTTTACGTGTATATTTTTTATAATATACGACGTACGCCCGACGCCGATGACTATAATATAATATGCATATAAAGATTATTAATAAGTATATACGCTTTATTATAATGAACTTAGTATATTTCTGCTGTTAGTCGTTCAGCATCCAAAAACAACAGAGTTATAAATCGACGTCTAATCATCTCGACCTTTCATGTACCTAATCGGAATGTAAAACATATTATATTTTATCGGCGATCGTCGAAGACTGGAAACATTGAAAACATAAAACCATTATTTTCTCTCGTAATATTATTATACAGTATGATTTGTACAATAATATACATTTATAATATTGTTTTGATGCACGCACACGTGTTGATACACTTATACATCGGAATATAGACCCATAACGTTCTTCTGACAATAATTCATTATTATTTAATCTCGACGACCAAGACAGATTGCCTGCACGGCTGCACAACATGGGCCGGGGGGTCAAGTCTATTTAAGTGCGTTTTCACTGCATCGTTTGAACCACACCTAATGCACAGAGAATATTCCTTGATCGCTCACAGTTTAGACTTTAGATTACCATGTTGTATTATTAATTATTATTATGCATTTTTATGACCGAACGAATCGGTTTGTTCATCATTCGAGTTCAAAGTGTGAAAGCAAAACATAACAAAAATTACATAACATTATATACAAATATATTGTAATAAAATTGTTTTTCATCCAATAACAACATGGAATTCGATAACGGTTCAAATAACTTTCAGATACGATCAAGTGATTGTACATATAGCTACATAACAACGTATTGTCGTTATATATATACACTAATATGTACGTATTTTTTTAAATTTTTTTTTAGATAAATTAAATGAAGCGCCTTTGAAGAAAAGAATCAGATCGGGTGCCAATGCTAGAGAACGTGACCGAACTCAAAGGTAAAGAATATTTAATTACCAGTTATTAGTTATACCTATGAATTGTTGAGATTACGAAATTTTTCATGTTTAAATTTTTGTTATTTAGTGTTAACTCAGCATTTGATGTACTACGGGCTATGATACCTATTGACCCTCCAGACCGCAAACTATCCAAAATAGAAACATTACAGTTAGCCACGAAATACATTAGTCATCTGTCCCAGATCCTAACTCCTGGTAAATATATCTTGATAGTCAAAATTATTTATTATCCCCATTCTTCATCAAGTATACAAAAAATATTGATAAATTATCATAAACATATATATTAAAAACATTTTTTAAATATAATAGAAAGTAAATTCATAATAGATAACAAATTAATTAATTATTATATAATTATGGTTAAAGTGTAATGCATAAATAATAATTATTTACTTTATGTAGTGATAACTTTTATTTTTAAAAGATCCAATACTTGGATATTAGTGTATGAGTATAACTATGTTGTCATTTTGACGATTCTGAATTATCAGTTTTAAATAAGTTGATACGTAATTTTTACTAATTTTTCTGTTAAAAAAACAAAGACCTTAGGTTTTTGAACTACTATTATACAACAAAACAATGTGTCCCTAAAAACAATATGTTTACCTATATAGTACGTTTAAAAATTATTTTAATCAGACGTTTTTTTTCAAATCACTAATGACTTTATAGAATACTTCCAGAAAATCAATCATTTGACTTCTATTTTTCATAAATTATATCATTAATCACCACTGTTTACTATAACATATTATGTGTGGTTTTCAAACATTAATAAAATAATATATAATATTTACAGGTTTATTATTTTTGTAACATCTATAATTTTTGTTTAGGAAAAGGCAGCGAACAAGAACACAGCTTCTATGATGTATGTATATTTTGTTTGACAAATAAATTTAATTCTTGAATAGTATACAAAAAACAAACTCCTTATATATTTCACCAATATGTATTTATTTTATAATCTATATCATATTATGTATAATTATTTATAATTTTGTTTTTTTCATTTATAAATTATGTGAGTAATATAGTTAAAGCTAAGTGTATTTACATTTAAATTCAAAAAAAAAAAATATATATATATATACTGTAAATATGTACATATATTATGTGCACGGTAAAATAAAGCACAAACTAAAATTAACCAAACAGGAACACTAAAAAACAAAACCAATTTATATATAATCTGTTACTGTAAACGATCATGTAACATTTGGTTGATTATTTTTATCTCCAAAAAATAAATTTGATTTAAATACTACAATTTGATATTTTCTGTACTATATTTTTTATTACATTAAAGACAAATTACTTATGTAATATATATTAATTGCTTTTAAACTAATTAAAGTTAACAAGAAAAATCATTTTTGCTACTTTAAAATAGCACCATATTTTTTGGTAAACATTTCTATATTACATTTGATTAATAATTTAGAATAAAAAAAAAGGTTTTGAAAATTCATTTTTCCATGCAAGAAAAGTGTGTTAATAAAATGTGTAATTTGTAACTGATATTAATAATTAAATTTTTTATGATGATAATAATAATAATAATAATAATTATTAAATATGGTTATTGATAAATAATAATTATAGTATGATTTGAGCAGTAAAATGTACTTTAATAGTTCAGTAATTACATAATATTTTTTCTATTATACAAGGGTTATAAAATGTTGGTAGAAATAAATTAAATTTAACAATTCTAATAAATTGTAGTTTATAATGTTTATTTAAAAATTAAAATAAGTTGTTAATCATAAACTTTTTTTTTCAAAAGAATTTAATTAAAATATTATAAAATCAGAACAACTCATTTTGTGCATTGGGGTTGATTAATAATTTATATGCATTAATTTAAAGGGACTAGTATTAAGTAATCTCTAGAAATGCGACGGATTGATTTTGATAAGGGTGCTGCAAATATAAATATATATTTGCAATTATTATTATTATTTTTTTTTTAACTAGTTACTAATTATTTTAAATTAAGTACTTATAAGTACAATCTTAATAAATTGTTTTTAATTAAAACAGTTTAATAAAAGGATATATCTTAAACTAAAAAAATTGAAAGTTATTATATTTAAATACAATATAAATTTGTCAAAATTAAACATAAATTAAAAATTTTATTGCATTTTATTTTTACATTTAATTAAGTGCATAATTTAATTTAACTTGAAAAGTCTATAAATAAACTTAAAATATTTAATAGATAACATACAAAATATGTACCAAAAATTGCATATACTTAATAATTAGTCATATAATAACTAATATTAATATTATATTGTGCTACTACACATATGACTTGTTAAATTACCATTTGCCTAATAATTGGGTAAGCATAAATTGGATATTTACATTAAAAAAAAAATATATATATATAATATAAATAATGATAATAAAAAAAATTATAATATTTTTCTTCTTTTATTAAATTTAATGAAACAATTTAGTACAACTTTAAAAATTAAACTTAATCATAGTATAAGATATTATTAATAATTGTTAATTTTCATTAATTACCCTTGTGGTTTTTTTGTAATTTTTTTTAGAACAAAAATTTTTCAATATTTTACCCGTGTGTTGAAAACAAAATTAAAAAATTATGGCCTTCCTCGTGCAGCTTCTTCAAGTGCACGGACTTTCATCTCTCGCTCTCTTTGTTGTTGTTGTCTAAAATATAACAAAGTATAAGTATTATTGACTAATAACACTATTTAAAAAGTCTAGTCTAAAAATCAAATACCCATACAAAAATGTCTTAAAAAAATATCAATTTTTAACTTCTAACTTGTATTGGAATAAGAAAAAATTTAAAAATTTAAATTTCTCAAGTATATTTGTCACTTGAACTTGGTTTATTGATATAGTATTTATATAGGCTATAAGAGAAAATATTAATGATGTACTTATATAAAAGAAATAATACATTAATCAAATTTATAATGTAATTAGATAATAATTATTAAAATAATAGGATACAGAAACTAGATATTTAGGATATTTATTGCATACATTGTTTCTAAATATCATACAAAATATGTACAACATCAAAATTGATGTTCAAAACCAATCCATTGTTGTAAGTTTTGAATGTGTTAAAAGTAATTAACCTCCATCATCTAATTATAAAGGTTAAGTTTATACATCAGGTTTTATACTTAAATTTTAATATTCCAAAATTGTACGTACTCACAACTTATTTTTTACTGATTTTAAATATGATACGTTCATAAGTTATAACAGAAAATCTATTCACAAAAATTACAATTAGATTACTTAATTATATTTACGTTTAACTATTTGAACTACTCACACTAAGTACCAACCAAGTATCCCAATTTTTACTTCGCTTTTGAAGAAAAATAATCAATTGATTTTTAATCAATAATTAATCTTAAATCAATACAATATAATATATACCCAATTAAAACTTATTTTAGTAAGCCCAATAATGCTATTTTTTAGAATTCAGTAAAAAAAAAAAAACACCTACACAATATTAAATGAAGCTCATTATGACTTACTATCTATAACATTTTTTTAACATACCTAATAAATTCTTCATGGGCCATTAAAGCTGGATGTGGAAAACGTTCACGTTCCATCATCATTTGTCTTTGAAAATGTTCATGTGCGACCTATTAAAATGTTTTTATATTAAATTATAAATAAGATTTAAAAACACAAATTTTAACTAGTTTTATTAAGTTTCATATTCTTATACCAAAAAAATATTAGTTATATTTTAAACTTTGAACTTAATATTAAATGGTCTTACTTGATCAGGAAATGGTCTAACTTGATCTGGAAATGGTCTTACTTGATCTGCAAATGGCCGGGCTAAGACATCACTTGGATGATGAAGTCCTAATGTAGGATCACGGCCAGGTATAAGATTTGGACGAGGATAACCGCCAGAAGCTAAAATTTATTTTAATTTAACTTATATTAGTAAACTGCAATAAATAGTAAAAACATTCAAATTAACAAAATCTTTTTATTTTAGTGTACCAAAATCAAAAATTCTATACTTTTTAATTGTCATTTTTATAAACAAACATGACAGTATAATCATACAAATATAATTCACATTCTGTATGATTAAAATGTTTAAATATGTATACTATAATTCAATTTAACAAATAATAGTATTAAAAGAATATTTAAATGAATATTCTTGAAATGAGAATAGTAATTGAATATAAAAAGTAATTTTAAACGTTAATGCAATTAATAATTTTTGTCATAACTGGAAGTATTGTAACTGTTATCTTATAAACACATAACACTCTAAAAAATACGTTCCAGCCATTTCAATTTTTTGCTGTAACCTTAAATATTTAAAAAAATTATAAATTACCCATTATCAAATTTTTATCAATGTTCTAAAATTAGTTTTTCATAATTTAAATTTATAAATATGTAAAATATTAAAAATGCTTAAAATACATTTAGAAATTGAATTAAAATATTGTAAAAATAATGGATAATATTTTTACTTCTAAGTTTAATCATAGGTAAATTTAATAGTGAAACTAACAACAAAAATTGAAACTATTGAATGTAGATTTGCAATGTCTGTTAGTAAGACGAGGACAAACAAATGAGAGTATGATGAATTAATAATAGTAAAGATCAAATAAATATTTGTTCTATGATATCCCATAAGATAATTTTCTATTAAAAAATGTAGCTGTTACATTATGTACACAGATCATGTAATAATTATTTACCTTTAAATAAATGTTTGTAAATCTTCTTTTTTATTTTACCTATATTATATAATATAAATTATAACTTTAAGGAGTTTATTTGACATTTTTATTTTATATTGCTTAGTAAAACAATAAAAATAATTTACCTGATGAGTTACAATTGACGCATTTTAGTTCAACTTAATAAAAAATATCTTTTTAGATTTAATATAAAAATAAAATATCAAGCTGTTTTATATATACAACATATACATAAAGTACAAATAAAAATAGAAAGTTACTCACAACCAAGTGGATAAACTGAAGGCGAAGAAGCAGAAGCTGAGCTATCAGCAGCTGCAGCTGCAGCAGCAGCAGCAGCTGCTTGCTGTCCTGGATGTAAATGTAGATGAGTATGAGAATGTGCATGTGTATGTGCATGGTATTCAGGTGAAATTCCAGCCAACTGCAATCTGACCATAGGATCTGTTGCTAATGCTAGACGATTTGCTTCCTCAGCAGATGGGCCAGGAGGACCACCACTAGAATTATTTTGGTTTGAATTTCCATTTGGCCCACCAGCTATAAATATTAATAATTTACAATTAAATTAATATTTTAACAAGTTTGAGTTTATTAATAATTTTACCAAGTCTGTCCATACGTTCTCTATCTAATGGATTCATGTTGCTAGGAGTACTAGACTGACTAGGAGCTCCAGGTGATGTATATAAACCAAATGGATGTATACCAGGTGTTCCCCCATAGCGACGCTGAAGTTCAATCCAATGTGGGTCAATTCTGGGTGGACCAGATGATCCAGACTTTAAAAATTCATCCTTAAGTCTATCATTTAATTCTTTTTCACGGAGTTCTCTCAATTCTCTTTCACGTTTTTCACGTTCCATTTGTTCATATTCAAATCTAAAAAATAATAGGAACTAATAAACTGAACTCAACAATTAAGCTTTTATTTAACTTACCTGTCTCGTGGATACATATTAAATTGATAATGTAACATTGGATCAATGCAATGTGGTGGCAAACCTAATCCTGGTGCTGATCGTGGTAAGGACACTGGTGAAAAACCAGCATGTGGTCGTGCATATTCACTAAATAATAAATAATATTTACATAAAAATAATGATTTAAATGGTTTATAAGATATAGTATAAAAATGTTTACCTTAACTGTCGTAATGCAGGAGTATCTGGGTACATTGGAGTA